CTCTTTCCCCGATTTAGAGGTTTTTCTCTCAATTGTCAAAGAATGTGCTCAGAAGATAGCAGAAATTATTTCTAGGATGTGAACTGGATTATAAATGTCAAAATAAATACATTGTTCTTAGCTTTGTTGATGGTATGAAAATAACTCTTGACTCTTTGTGAACTATTTTTTTTGACTGAATTAGGAACTGGGCTTGTATTTTCTTAGAGGACTGGGCCTTTGAATTAGTTGTTTGAAGAAATTTGCATCTTCTAACTTGCTATGTTGCAGCTTTTAAGTGGAACTTGATAGAACTGTCTTGAATGCTCTTTAGTGACATTAACATAGAAACTTGCAGCTCTGTGTTTCAGGAGCAATCCAGGTGTTGCTGTCACAGCTGTTTTAGGTTTGCATGCAATCGATACTTAAGTTTATCTTAAGAGTGTGTTAGGAAGTCTTTGCATTGCTATGTGGCTTTCTTCAGCTATTGTTTCAAGAAGTCTGTTACCACTGGAGGAATCAATGAGATGATTACTCTGTCTCCATGGCAACAATATATCAGCTTTCTATTGTGCATCTCCGTGGCCCTTAAGAAATGTTTAAATAAGGCTTTCTGCTCCACACCCCATCAGTGAGTTTAACAAATCTATACCTGTTGTTCCTAACTGGCTATTTTCCTTTCCTCAGAGATGATTCAGAAGCGATGTGGGGTAAATAACATTTAAATGTGTAAATGGAAACTATACCCTTCTTGGCAATATGGGTTTCGTTATTAATCCCAACTTGAATTGTATCACTGTTACTTTTATTTAAATTGATGGCTTATGGAACAGAGATTTCAGATTTACAAGGGTGTTTTCGAACACCTTGTAATGATTACATATTGAAAAAAATGATGAGTTTTTGAAGATATGGAAAAATGGGAGAGCTTTCTTTCATTTTGTTCAAGAAATCCTTTCAGTAGCATTAGAATTCAAATGAACTTAATCATTATAGCTCAAAACAAGACTCAGTGCTATCGGTAACAGCTAAGCAATGTCTTGTAACTGGAAAACAGCTTTATGTCATCTACTTAGAAAATCATTTTTCTATTTTTAATCTAAAATGTTTTTATACTAGGGCTGTCTAACGAACCTTCTTGGCTATCTTCAAAACGGAATACATAGAAAAACCTGTAGAAAATTATTTAATTATTTAAGTGATTCTTTTTAGTATTTCTAAGATTTAGTTCTGATCCCTAGGAAGTAATCGGAAGCTTATCTTTTTCTTACCATAAAATGAGTCACAAGATAAGGACTCTAGTAATATGTATGTAATGTCACTGGAATAAACAAAGCCATTCCAGAGAGTAGTAATATCACTGTCTATGTACGGTGCACATCGAGATTTTTCTGAGTGTATTAGCTAAGGGTTCTGAAAGTAACCCTTATGGTGTTGATGTTTCAACCGCTATGGCTTCTGAAGGATTTGTTACATTTAAATGCACTGCTAATAGGGAAGTTTACTGGAAGTTCAGTCATTTTTAGAACAGAAACCAGCAGGGCATGTGTGTATTTAGATGAATAAATAAAAGTATCACCTGCTTGGGAAATGATGTAATTAGCCTGTAGTCTATCATAATGTGAGGTTAATTTTTGTGCTGTTTGGTTTTGTACGTGACTGAAAATAAAGTCCATTTACATGCAGCAGGCGTGAGCTGCTTTAACAGTATGTGATGATGTCCATTTTTGCTCATCTTTATTAATCTTGAAGTAGATTTCAAAAGTACTGATAGTAAAACTGCTTGAGGAAAGTGGGGAGGACAGTGATCGGTGTCTCAAGATTTACAGTTGAAGTTCAGGCACCAAATTTCACTTTGTGGGTAGTGATACTTTGTGTACAAAAAAAGTTGCTTTAGGAAGTTAACAGAAATCTAACTGAAGCCCCTCTGCTATGAATCATCCTTTGCAGAACCTTTCAAGCAATTACTCTAGTTACTTAGTATATTGTAAGCTAAGTAGTAATTTTAGCTTAGCATTAGAAAATGCTTTCTGTTTCACAAGGTGGGGTTTTCTTTAAGAAAAGATATATTATCATGATTAACAGTCTCTAATCATTGAGGAAATGTATTGATTTTTGTTCTTGTCTGTAGGAACTTATCATGGCATGCTGCGTTGGATACTCAAAGTAAAATGTATATTCCACACTCTCATGCCTTTATAGATTTAAATAATGACTTCACTGCTGGTAAGTCATAAGTGTTAAATACCTTCCTAAAAATGTTTATCACTACGTATACAATGTAATGTATTGCAATTTCCTTCTAATATTTCAGTAAATTTCATTGATGGTTGTAAAGAGCTGGTTTTGGAATGTTGTGTTCAGTAATTATGACTTTGCTACTTAGGATTTTTTTATTTTTAATAATTTTAATATCTACAATTTGAAAATTCTGGGTTTTAAAAAATAGCCGCCAAAATGAGTAACCTAATAACATTTTCTACTCCTTGACAATAATTTAATCAGAACTAATGCTTGTTCGGAATAATTTTGTGTTCACCATTAAAGCATTGTTTCCTGTTTTTCATGATGTTGTACTCCGGTATTCCGTTTGCAACTGAATCAGAAGCGGTGCTGCATTTTCTTCATCTTGAATTTGAAAATAGTTTATATTACAGTTTATACAAAAGAATGTTTTCAAGACTGGGCTTACAATTTATTTCTCTCAATATAACTTCATTCTATTTTGTTGTAGCTAATTCTGTGACTGATTTGAGGAAACAGCACATGAGACTTTATTTTTCTATTACTATATGAGTAATGCTGTAACCTGTTTATAGTTTAGCATTCACAAACAAGTACTGGAGATAGCTTTTCTTATGGTACATAAACTGTATTCTTCCTTTGGTAGTGGCTTTGTTTTATTTGGGTGGGTTTTTTGTGAAATACGCAATGCAATTTAGCCTTCAGTTACCACAATGAATCTATTTATCGCTTACATATCTAGTTCCTACCTCTGTGCACATTTAAATATTGTGCTAAACTTAATATCTTCACACACTAAATGAATTCTGAAATGCTTTATCTTCTGCTAGGTGTGCGATGTACATCAATTCATATATGGTAGTTTTGGAAAGAGAGCTTATTTTTTTTCCTATTTAATAGCATGGGAATGAGAGAGGAAAGAGTCCATAAATTTAATTAATATGCCTGTAAATGTTGTGGATTAAGTTAATTACTTTACTGCATAGTCAAACCTTAATATTCAGTTCTGGCACATTGCTGCATGAAGCTGTCAAGTGGAAATTCCAACTGGAAAATTAAGTATACGGTTGCTTACCATAATCAGTGTCATGTAATAATCAATTCTAACACACTTAGTTCTACAAATCCTTTGGAGTTTTGTTTTAGTGGCATGGGCAGCATAGATGAGCATCCCAGGTAGCATTTTAAGATGAATATATTGACATCTAAACTCGCAGGTAGGTAAAGACAGGGCGTCTAAGTTGCTTACGTAGATCAGGTACAGATTGATCAATTTTTGCAAGAGTACACAAGGGTTTTTATGACAGCTAACAGTCTAAAGCATGTCCAGAAAGTTCCAGTTAGTGATAGTGATATATGGAAATTCCTCTTAAATAGAAATGAAAGCCAGGATTTTTGTGTGGGGAGTGCTGGGAGCTTTTATAGATTCTCATCTATAGTCATACGTCAAGATGTGAACAGAAGCTTCTATGAAGCACTCCCCGTAGAAAGATCCTGGCTTTTATTTGCTTGTAACAGCAAAGATGTAACACCTCAGGCTGAAATATGTGTTATGTTACAGCAACCTGAGGAAAATTTCGAGGAAAATAATTTATTCTAAGAAGAAAAGTGGAGAAAATATTACTATAGAATTACTTTCTTTAAAATATTTTTTTGGCTTTTAAGCTGGGACTGGTAAATTGTTTTTTTGCTGTTGCTATGAAAATTGGACCAACTGTGAACAAGGCATATGTTGCTGAAAAATAATACCTTATCAGTGTTATATGATATTTCATGACTGATGTGTTATTTCAAGACTGCCTGCTGCCAAAATGAAAAGCCACCCCATCGTCTGATCCTGTCGGCACATTTATGGCAGCTCCGTCACATCAGCTACGGTAGCTCCTCAGGAACTGGGGCTGAGGGGGAACACAATTCATTTTCACTTGAGTTATTAAGCCGATTCAACTCGCCATGCAGCTTCAGGATTGCCAGAGCGAATGCAAGCATAGAGAGAAGGTAGACTCCGATTTTAGTAGCAGCAGTTGCAGCCTGGCTTTAACCAAGCATGAAATTGCACCTTGAGTCCCATTGTGCCTCTTCCAAAAAATACCTGTTCACTGCTCTCAACATGTCTCCTTTAATTTGTGTTAGTCTGTACAGAGTTGGGCAAGTGACTCATAGAAGTAGTCAGCTGATATAATTAGAAAAAAAAAGGCAAAACAAAAACCCAACTGTAGGTAACTGTCTGAACATCTGACTATCAGTACTGCAAAGTGCACTCTGCCGAACAGGGCCAAAAGAAGGTGCTGATACTACTGTAGTATGTACACAGCGGGTCCTGTGCCTGGCTCCGTGCAGTCTGGACAGACTTTGCAGAAGATAGTTCAACGCTTCTGCTGTTTGTTCAGCTCTGTGCCGAGTTAGCATAGCCGGCACAGCGCAGCCTTAACTGCACCAGCAGAGAGAGAAGTGCCATTCGTATTGTTACTGCTGAATGGAGTCACTGGAGTCTATTACTTATTGGTTGGTTCAGGTGGAGCTAGAGGAGATGAGAGGATTCTCGTGACTCAATATTCATCCACACTACTGTTCTCGTGTTGGAACAAAACCTCAGTAAGAATAGGTCCTGGTACACATTAAAATCATATTATTTTGGAGGGAGGCGTTGACAAGGATGCAGGAGAGTAGGCTGCGTGCTGAAACCCTGTTGTCTGAAAGACTTAATTGTGACATTTGATGTTACTGTGGTACTTTTTTACTGAAAAAATCACAATATTTACTCACAGGCAATACTACTATTCGTGAATATGAAGATACAGTTGTACCTAAAATGGATGTACTGAGTTTTGTCTACAAATAAGAAACAAACCTGCAGAATGCACCATCTTTACTTCTTTGGTTTTTATGGGTTTTTTTAAGACCTTTTTCTAATATTCCGCAATGTTTTGGGGCTCTCTGTATTCTGTAACAGATGCAGCCAATTCAGTGAGTTTTAGCTGGGCTATTTTTGGCAACTCTATCATTATAAACAGCTTAGGAGATTTAAAGTGTGCTTGACATAAAAAAAGAAAAAATCCTCTCTGGGCTGAGCATCTTTTTGCTAGTTTATTGCCTAACCTGTTTTCAACCTGCCAATATTAAACCCTCAAAACAGAGCTTTTAATTGGCATGCTTCTCATGCTCTGGGTAAAATGAAGTTGAATTGTTACGATTTCATTATATGAGAACATGTTCATAAAGATGTTTTTAATCCCTAACAATGCTTCATGAAAGGCTAACTGTGTAAGGATTTTATAATCCAAAAATCCACTAACCAGAACAAAGATAATACTAATCGCTCCTGGTGAGATATAAGCTAGGCTGTTTCAGATAGTAATGCTGCTGCTGTTTTTAAATAAAGCATCATCACATAGAAATTTCAGCTTCTTATAATTTTTAATTCAGTAATTTTGAGGTAGGCCAGGAATTTTATATAATCCGTGCAAAAATTTGCAGTACAAGACTTTAACCAAAGGGTCCGCATGTGCTTTATGGATAAAGTAAATACAAAATTTTCAAGTGGTTTCTGCATGTGCATTGTGTGTGTTGCTCCTGGGAGGAGTATCTAGTTCACAGAATGGCTGCGATTGGAAGGGATGTCTGGAACTGGTCTTGTCAACCTGCCTACCCTCAACGTTACTGTCTGTACGTCCGCTGAGATAGACTGAAAAATGAGGAGAAGATGTGGTAACCCTTGTTAGAATAGTGTTACTGGGTGTCTGCTAATACATACTCACACTTGTCGTTAGGTATCTTTAACAGCTAGCTTAAGAAAATAATCTTGAAGCTAATAATAATAGGTTTGTCTGAACAGATTAACTTCAGGTTTATTTTGTAGAGCATGACAGTTCAGCTGAGTGTTTTCAAAGCAGACTCCTCAAGTAAGAGACCTGTTTTAAAAATGTCTTCTCTTCAAACTGAACAATTTACATCACGTGACTTAAGAAAAGAAGTATTTGAACAGGATTTCACTATTTGACTCATAGTGAAGGAGGTAAAAAGTAACTTCTCTTTGCATTAATCCACTCAATTAAAAATAAATAGCAACTCATTGTTCCTCAGAAACGCGTTTCAGATGTTAGTTAAGAGATGCAGATAATACTGTCTAATTGAATAAACACTATTCCCAATACGGTCATTATGCTGAAGATTTTATAATTGAAATAATGAACGAAAGCATGGAGAAAAAGTGTTACAGCTGGAAACCGAGGCCAAGATAAGTAAAAGGACTTAATAAAAACCACCCAGAAATGATGTGGAGTTGGATACCAATACAGTTCATCTACTTAATGCTAGACAATAGGCAAACATATTTTGTTGATTTGCATCACACTCAGCATTTTCAGATAAATACTTTGGACTGAGCTGAGGTTTAAATTTAGCATGAGTCACTAGGTGAACACTGATTAGACTGTCTTAACATAAGCTCTCACAGGCGTATCAAGAGTTGAGATTTTTATGATAGCAATTATTTTGCTACGTCTCTTTTTTTTTTTCTAATTAGTTAACTTGATTGTTTCTAATTAAAACATCTTAAAATGTCAGATGTTCAGTTAGGTGCTGTCTTTCTAAGCCAAAATTTTAGTAAGTAATTACTGGGGAAAAAAGGGTCATTAATAAACAGTAAATGCGTATGCACTTAAAGTTACAAGTCTTCTACCAAGAAATCGGGCAATGGCCCTGAAAATATTATTAAAATGTTCAAATGTATGAGACAAACTGCCTTGGACTCTGAATCTTTCTGTAGCTTCATACTGTACATTTGTCAATGTATCCTTGAATGCTATGAAAAATAGCCGACGTATTAAATATTCTGAATTGCTAGTCTCTTTACTGATTTCTAATGGGTAATTTTCTTATGTTGTTTTGCTTTGGGAATCTAGAAACTTAATGTATTGGAACACTTAAAATGTGTTTTCTCTTTGATCCCCACTTAGTTTAAATGCATAAATGTAGATAAT